GCAGTGATTCCTTCAAAGATGGGACATGACCTTACAGTGTGAGAACAAGATGCTGGACCAAATGGGCCATTGGCCTGATCCAGCAGCCCCCTCTTCTTCTTCTTCTTCTTCTTCTTCTTCTTCTTCTTCTTCTTCTTCTTTTCCTCCTCCTCCTCCTCCATTAAAAAATACAGGCCTGGCAGCAGGACAACAAGGAGAGAGCCAGTCTAACTTCTCCTAGGAGGGAATTCCAAAGTTGGTGGGACAAAGTGAGAGCTGGACCATAAAGAAGGCTGATCGCCAAAGAATTGATGCTTTTGAATTATGGTGCTGGAGGAGACTCTTGAGAGTCCCATGGACTGCAAGAAGATCAAACCTCTCCATTCTGAAGGAAATCAGCCCTGAGTGCTCACTGGAAGGACAGATCCCGAAGCTGAGGCTCCAAGACTTTGGCCACCTCATGAGAAGAGAAGACTCCCTGGAAAAGACCCTGATGTTGGGAAAGATGGAGGGCACAAGGAGAAGGGGACGACAGAGGACGAGATGGTGGGACAGTGTTCTTGGAGCTACCAGCATGAGTTTGACCAAACTGCGGGAGGCAGTGGAAGACAGGAGGGCCTGGTGTGCTCTGGTCCAGGTGGTCACGAAGAGGCGAACACGACTAAATGATTCAACAACAACAATACTGAGAAGGCCCTCTCCTGTGCAGGACTGAGAGAAGGGAGACCATTGAGTTATGACCACAGAGCTATGACCCCTTCCAACAAACACAACCTGGGAGGGGCTCTGCTGATATTTCAGAGGGGCTCTGGGATCCTGGGGGTCAGGGGGCTCTCTGCCCCCATGAGGACTAGAGGCTTGCCTGAGCTTTGCGGAGCCTGTTTGTTTTTGATCTGAGCAGCACGTCTCCATGGCAATTAAGTGAGACGCTGGGCCATTAAGTGGAAAGGTGAGGCATTGAGGGGAAAACAACTTATGGTCCTTGACCTTTCTGGAGGACTTTTCCATTTGATTAAAATTCTCAGAGGGCCATTATTGGCCAAAATCGGCCACTCAATTACATCGATTTCATTTATTTTCCTTCCCCGCCGAACGCTACCCAAACAACTTAGAGCATAATGGATGGAAGGAGAAATATCCATTTCTGCCTCACTCAAGAGTTAGATTTGCTGGCTAAATCTAACTGGAGTGGAGGGCCAGGTCCACAGAGTGCAGGAGAAGGGCCTTGAAGGCAAAGGAGCATTGTGAACTTTTAATTAAAAATAGGAGCCGACTGGTGGAGGGGGGCTAAGAGCCTCTCCGGCCCCATTGCCTCGTTTGTTTCCCATGATCGCAATGAAATTTCGTGAGCCTAATGGCGGGGAGGATAAAAGCTGGGGAGGGGGCAGGAGTGGAGGAGGAGGAGGAGATGCAAAGCAAGAGGTCAAATCCATTTTGAAGCCCAAATGATGACCCGACAAATGTATCTCCTGCGTGGGTTCCCGTCCAAAGAAATGAGTTTCCTTGAAAGGAGACCGAGTGGCAATTCTAGGGTTTAAGCGAAAGGTGATGGTAATGGATTTCATTATACAAGGAAAACATGTTGACCTAACCACTTGTAGGTAATGGAAGATTATCATGAGCCAGAAATACCAGAGGTTTTCTGTGCCTGTTAAGAGCGGTGCAGACTGAGATATGGTGTTTGTGTGTGTGTGTGTGTGTGTGTGTGTGTGTGTGTGTGAGAGAGAGAGAGAGAGAGAGAGAGAGAGAGAGAGATCAGAGCAGGGTGCAGAGAGAAAAGAGAAACTCTGCTTCAGTAGTCAGATATACACTGCTTGAATGTATTGTTTGTTTGTTTGTTTGTTTGTTTGTTTGTTTGTTTGTTTTATATCATGGGTAGGCAAATTAAGGCCCAGGGGCTGGATCCGGCCCAATCACCTTCTCAATCCGTCCCACATACGGTCCGGGAATCAGCATGTTTTTACATGAGTAGAATGTGTGCTTTTATTTAAAATGCATCTCTTTGTTATTTGTGGGGCATACGAATTCGTTCATTCTCCCCCCCCCCCAAAAAAAAGAAATATAGTCCGCCGCCGCCCCCACAAGGTCTGAGGGACAGTGGACCGGCCCCCTGCTGAAAAAGTTTGCTGACCCCTGGTTTATATCCTCCCCTATGCCCACAGGTCTTGTAAAAACCAACAACCTCAAAGCAGTTTATGAAAAGCAATAAAATTATCGCTAAGGAAAACAACAACAGACTAAGACTTTCGAAAGCGTAAAACGAGATGAAAACTCTCACTGACTTTCTAAATGTCTGGGTAGGCTTGTCTAAGCAGAAATGTTTTTAGCAGGTGCCAAAAAGTGTCCGGTGAATTGCCCGAGCTCAAGTGGCAGGGAGTTCCAAAGTGTTTAGGCGCCAGCACACTAAAACTTTCATAAATGTGGAGCGAGGGTTGTGGTAACATGGCCCGTACCACAGATCAAGGGTTTGCAAGGATCACAGATATGGGTGAGATCCGTATCCTCGCCGCAGCTTTCAACAGGTTCCATTGAGCTACCGGGGTGTAACCATGGGTGTGCTGAGTCCTAATTCTGCCCCAAAGCTGGACCTGGGCTTCTACACAGACAGCACATTCTGCAAGACAAATGTCTTGACATTTGCACACAAATAGGCAATTTACTTGTTGGGGGGAAAGGTCAGAACTATCCATAATGGCAGGAAGAAGCGTGTGAAGTCGGGAGCCCTCTATTAAAACACAGGGAATCCAAACAAATTTTCTGTGCATGATGACTGTAACTCAATTCTGGACCCCTTCTTTCAACTTCTTCTTCTTTCTTTGGCGATCCCTCGTAGCCGAGTAAGATTGTCTTCCATAAACACGGTTTTGCCAATGAGTCCGTAAGTGACTATGGAATCCTATTCTGGATCCACACATCTTTCCACAGTGGGGACATTGGTTTCTGGGCAGGAGTTGATCACAGTGAGGGTTTGCCAAATGTGCCTTCCTCTTGGCACGTTTCTCCCTTGCGTCCTGAGTTCAAGGGTCTTCAAAGCCCATGACACCTTTGGTGAAGGCTGTTCTCCAACTGGAGCGCTTGCAGGCCTGTGTTTCCCAGTTGTCGGTGTTTCTACTACATTTTTTAAAAAGATTTGCCTTGAGAGTTTAAACCTCTTTCGTTGACCACCAGCATTACGCTTTCCATTTTTAAGTTCAGAATAGAGTAGTTGCTTTGGAAGATGATCATCAGGCATCTGCACAGCATGACCATTCCAGCGAAGTTGATGTTGAAGAATCATTGCTTCAACACTGGTGATCTTTGCTTCTTCCAGTACACTGGCATTAGTTCGCCTGTCTTCCCAAGTGATGTGTAAACATTTCTGGAGACACCGTTGATGGAATCTTTCGAGGAGTTGGAGATGGCGTTTATAAGTGGCCCACGTTTCACAAGCTTACAGTAAGGTTGGTAGTACAATAGCTTTGTAAACTCAGTGCACCAAACTCAGTGCAACCTCCAAGGGGAAGCTGGCACCAGGTCCTTAGAAGCAGGGGTGGAAAAACCCAGTGGCCACATTCCCTCCTGCGAAATCTTCTGAAGTCCACGTTCAAAAGTGGGTAGAGCAAGAAATAGAGATTTTTTCCCTTCGTACAGTAGCAGAGGACGCAGGTGGCGCTGTGGGTTAAACCACAGAGCCTAGGACTTGCTGATCAGAAGGTCAGCGGTTTGAATCCCCGCGACGGGGTGAGCTCCCGTTGCTCGGTCCCTGCTCCTGCCAACCTAGCAGTTCAAAAGCACGTCAAAGTGCAAGTAGATAAATAGGTACCGCTCTGGTGGGAAGCTAAACGGCGTTTCCGTGCTCTGCTCTGGTTTGCCAGAAGCAGCTTAGTCATGCTGGCCACATGACCCGGAAGCTGTACGCCAGCTCTTTTGGCCAATAAAGCGAGATGAGTGCCGCAACCCCAGAGTCGGTCACGACTGGACCTAATGGTCAGGGGTCCCTTTACCTTTACAGTAGCAGAAGCTGAACATTGGCAGATTCAGGGCAGATTTTTTAAAAAGCCCTTCTTCACACAGCACATAGGTTAACCTGAGGAACTCCCTCCCACAGGAGGCAGGGATGGCCAACAACCTGGACGTCTTTAAAAGCAGGTGAGGCAAATTCACAAAGCAGAGGGCTGTCAATGGCTACTATCCATGATGGCTTTGGGGTCCCAGCTGCTGGAAGCCAAAGGAGGGGAGAGGCCTCTTGTGTTTAAACCCTGCTTGCAGGTTTGGCCACTATGATAACAGGATGAGGGACCAGTTGGGGCCCTTTCTGAACTTCTCCCAGTTCTACAAGATCCTTTTTCTAACCGCAGCTTAGGAACCAGATTCTCTTTATGTGGCTTCCCAATGTGGACATTGTGGGAATGTTCAGGAATGTTTAGTTATAGCCTTTCCAACTTGTGTTAACAAGTTCCACAATTTAGCAGAGTGACATTCCCCTTTTTAAATTCGCAGCGGATGCGTTTGCTCAGGCTCGCTAAAGCCTCTACAATAACTGTTCTGGTAATTCCCCCTTATTCCCTCATAAAAGATAAGACACGACACAGTTTTCTATAAAAGTATAAAAAGAGTTTACTCACATTCTGTTCACAATTGGATCCCAGAAGGCAGACTTAGCTTAGAAAAGTAACATATACCTGGAAACTATCTCATAAGGAGACAGTCCCTTTGTCCTCTCTGGGCTGGAAAGCATCTTTGGCTAAGCAGATGTTGCTTTTTTGACGCACGTAGTCAAAAAGAGAGAGAGATGGTGGCCAGTCCTATGCTTTTGTTACCTGCACAGGTGAGGCCACGCCCACCTCTAGTCCCATGCAGAGGAAGTCTGTCCCAGCCCAGAAGGAAACAGGAAGTTTACCTGCTGGCTGGACAAACATTCCTCCCCATGTGTGAACATGTTCACTCTAGGAATGTTGTACTTGACTGCTCTTGTGTTTCACATCCCACAGACATCAATGGATGCTTCCCTCAGTCCGTCAGCAAAGGGTGAAGAAGGAGCCTCAGGCGTCCTCTCATTCACAAAGGTGGCCTTGCCTTTAAGGCCCCTCCTTCCCCCACCCCCAGGGAATAAGAACAGCTTGACCCTGGCCAGCCTCCCATGTAATCTCCCGCACGCTGATAAAACTCCTGAAGGTCACGCAGGGCCTCTGCTACTGCCCTCCTTCTTGTGCATCGACTGAGAAGGCCCCTGAATGCTATTTTTAGTGCAGTGATAGGATCAGGTAGAATAAGCCCTAGGAGTGCTCCCTTAAAGCGCACTCTGCGTCCCCAGGCGTGTCACTTAAGGATCCCGAGAGACTGGTCCTTTTACAGGTAAGTTCGGGCTTCTTATTTTCAGGGGTCGTCTTTGTGGGGAATGAATGCCCTCCTCTCCCCGCTGTGCCCCACATTCTCTCTGGGGTCTCTGCATCTGTTCTGACTCAGGGCCTCTTGTCTAAGGTGGCTGCAGGTGGAGAACACAGCTTGAGTTGGTCTCTAAGCATCCCAGGATGTTGTTTTGCTTTTAGGGAGGATTTCAGAGGGTTGGAAGGGCACCTCAGCTGTCATCTAGTCCACCCCCCCCTGCAATGCAGGGATCAGAGCTGAAGAATCCCTGACAAATGGCCACCCAGCCTCTGTTGAAAAACCTCCAAATAAGGAGAGTCCGTTCCACCTTTTGAGAGAGCCCGTTCCGAACAGAACTTACCACAAGAAAGTTCTACCTAACGTATATTCAGAATCTCTTTGGTCTCCTTGCTGGCCCAAGTGGGACTAATTTAACCAGCTAGCCCTGGTGATCATCTAATGTTTATTGGATGGATTTCCCCCCTAAATTGATTTTTGATTCTTATTTGGTTATTTACCACTTTATACCGTATTTTTTGCTGGGGTTTTTTTTGTAGCATCAATTAAGTGTTTTGAATTTGTTGTTAGCTGCCCTGAGCCCGGTTTCCTGAACCAGGAAGGGCGGGGTATAAATAAAATTTATTATTATTATTAATTTGAAGTCCATTGGTTTGGGAGCTGCCATCTGGAGCGGCAGAAAGCAAGCTCTCTCCATCTTCCACGCAACAGCCCTTGAGATATTTGAAGGTGGGTCCCTAAACGATAGCTAGCGGCATTTTCTCAGCTGTGGAAAATGCAGGCGATCTCTCATCTCAGGGAAGGTGGGGAATCACAGAGATGTGGTGAAAAGGTCAGAAGGCTTGCAACAGCGGCGTTTCCTCTAAGGAAATGTGTTTTATCGTGACCCATCTGGCTCCAGAAGACAGCTCAGCGTCACAAGTCAACGAAAGAGAATATTAACAGTGTGTGTGTATGCATCACAGTCACATATACAAAGAGGGAGCAATAGATCAAACAGTTTGATGGGGTCAAGTGGGGGGTGAAGCTTGGGACTCATCCAGTTACAAGGAGATTCTGACTAAACATCAGGAAGACCTTTCTGGTGCTGACAGCCATTCAATGGTGGAACAGTTTTTAAGCAGAGGTTGGGTGGTTGTCTGTCATGAATTCTTTAGCTATGATTCCTGTATTGCAGGGGTTGGACTAGATGACCCTTAGGGTCTCTTCCAACTCGACCATTCTCTGATTATCCGATTAATTGCATGTAGTTTTGGTTATCCTTTCAAGTCACATTTGCAACAGAATCCTTCTTTGGCTTTTTTTTCCATGTGTGGGGAGAGAAGGCTTGTTGTTTTAATGGGTTGGTATCCTGCCTTTCTCTCAAGTTGGGATTTAAGGCAGTTTACAAAGGTTTGTAAAATGCAAAGTAAAAGTTGAGAACAGTCAGAACACCGTATTTACTTGAACCTAATGCTCACCTTTCCTTTGGCCAAATTACATTGCAAAAATTAAGGTGGGCATTAGATTTGATGGTGCGTTAGACTCGAGTAAATATGGTGCACCAGAATGCATTTAGAGGCAGCTGAGTTCACCCCAAGATCTAGCAGCGGAGTGGTCAGCATCATCTGCACCTTAGTCTGAACAAAAAGGTCTTATCCTGCCAGCAAAGGGAATTCCACAACCATATGAAGTTCCAGGACCCAAGGTCCACCAGGCCTATGCAAGCAATTAAGAACACAATGGTGAATGCTCTGCTCTGGTCAGACCTCACCTGGAGTACTGGGTCCAGTTCTGGGCACCAGAGTTCAAGAAGGACACTGACAAACTGGAACGTGTCCAGAGGAGGGCAACCAAAATGGTCAAAGGCCTGGAAACGATGCCTTATGAGGAACGGCTAAGGGAGCTGGGCATGTTTAGCCTGGAGAAGAGGAGGTTAAGGGGTGATATGATAGCCATGTTCAAATATATAAAAGGATGTCATATAGAGGAGGGAGAAAGGTTGTTTTCTGCTGCTCCAGAGAAGCAGACACGGAGCAATGGATCCAAACTACAAGAAAGAAGATTCCACCTAAACATTAGATAGATAGATAGATAGATAGATTCTTTATTGTCATTACACAAGTGCAACATTGCACAAGTGCAACGAAATTGGATGCCATCCCTTAAAAACAACAAAAGCAAAACAACAACAACAACCAAACAAACCACCTTCCAGCCACACCCACACCCATCAATCTCCCAGGTCTCCCTATTGAGTTACAGCATTCAAAAAGGCCACAGCTCTTGGATAGAAACTGTTTTTCAGTCTATTTGTCCTTGACTTGATGTTTCTATACCTCCTGCCAGAAGGCAGTAGTGCAAACAGACTGTATCCCGGGTGAGATGGATCCTGCAGGATGTTGTTTGCTTTCCTAAGGCAACGGGAACCGTACAGTTCTTCCAAAGGTGGGAGAGGGTGACCAATAATCCTTTGGGCTGTGGTTATGACCTTCTGGAGCACCTTCCTCTCCCTAGCTGTACAACTGGAGAACCAAGCACAAATACAGTATGTAAGTACAGTAGTGCCCCGCAAGACGAACGCCTCGCAAGACAAAAAACTCGCTAGACGAAAGGTTTTTTCGTCCGCGATTTGCCTCGCAAGACGAATTCCTCTATGGGCTTGCTTCGCAAAACGAAGCTTGCCCCGGGGACAGCGGGTCTTCTCTTTTGAAGCAAGGGGCTGCGGGGAGATAGCGATCTCCCTGCAGCCCCTTGCTGCAAAAGACGTCGGGGGAAGCGGGGAAGCGAAGCGCTTCGCTTCCCGCTTCCCCCGGACCTCTTCTGAAGCAAGGGGCTGGGGGGAGATAGCGATCTCCCTGCAGCCCCTTGCTTCAAAAGACGTCGGGGGAAGCGGGGAAGCGAAGCGCTTCGCTTCCCGCTTCCCCCGGACCTCTTCTGAAGCAAGGGGCTGGGGGGAGATAGCGATCTCCCCCCAGCCCCTTGCTTCAGAAGAGGTCCGGGGGAAGCGGGAAGCGAAGCGCTTCGCTTCCCCGCTTCCCCCTGACGTCTTTTGCAGCTGTTCCGAAGTGGGGCGGGGGGGCGGGGTCACCTGCCCCAGCTGCCCCACTTCGGAAAGCTGTTCCGAAGCGGGGAGGGGGGGCGGGGACATCTGCCCCAGCCGCCCCACTTCGGAAAGCTGTTCCAGGAACAGCTCCATAGGAACCTCCATAGGCGCCCGTCACCTCTCCAGCCAGGAGAGCGCGCGCGGGGCTAAACCAGCCCCCCGCGACCCTCTCCCAGCTGGAGAAGTGACGCGCGCCTATGGCAGGAGCCTCCATAGGCGCCCGTCACCTCTCCAGCCAGGAGAGCGCGCGCGGGGCTAAACCAGCCCCCCGCGACCCTCTCCCAGCTGGAGTTGTGACGCGCGCATATGGCAGGAACCTCCATAGGCGCCCGTCACCTCTCCAGCCGGGAGAGCGCGCGCGGGGCTAAAGAAACCATAGCCCCGCGACCCTCTCCCAGCTGGAGAAGTGACGCGTGACTATGGCAGCAGCCTCTGAAGGATGCACCGAAGCCTGGCGTGGGGGGGGGGGGCGGAGAGACCTTCTCCCCGCGCCAGCCTTCGGATGGCTGTCCTGAAGACTTGGGGTGGGAGAAGGATTTTCCTTCCCACCGCCAACATTCAGAATGCTGTTCTGAATGTTGGCGGTGGGGAGGAAAAACCCTCCTCCCACGCAAGCCCCGGGAACAGAGGGAAAGCGCTGCGCGCCTTCCCCTCTGTTCCCGTACCTGTGCTGAAGGCTTGCGGTGGGGAGAAAAGCCCTTCTCCGCACCGCCAGCCTGGCAAGCGGTTTCCCTAGGAACGCATTAATTGATTTTCAATGCATTCCTATGGGAAACCGTGCTTCGCAAGACGAAAAATTCGCTAGACGACAAAAATTGCGGAACGAATTAATTTCGTCTTGCGGGGCACCACTGTA